TTGTTACAATATACCGACAAATTTGGCCAGCTTGCGTTTCAGGTGGAGATGAATACCGAGAAAGATAGGCGTCCCATTAGACTGAACGGAGAAAGATAGAATACACGTACAATTGTCTTTACATAAACAAAGAGAGCGTTGCGTACAGAGATATTCTATGAAATGGATGAGGTACCTCTCAACTTCGACCGAACGGAAAGCACATACCATTTATTTATGGTATGGGCTAAATATTTAAAATATGGTGGTTAGTAAACAATTTCAGTCGGTATATACCAAATTTGCATGTACCATACTGCTGTAAAAGGCATAAAAGTGCAATCGAAATACAGTAAGGTTTCTGTGGTATGCTAAGAATACTTCCACGTATATATATACAGGGTGTTCATTAAAGAATGGGCCAAACTTCAGATGTGGTTAGTTTGGACAAAAATAAATTCATAAAAGCCAATTTACCTTAGTAGAATTTTGCTTCTGTGTAATTTCTTGCTGAAACATGTGCATTAAAATCTTTGTTGGGGATCTTAGGAATCATATCGTTGCCCTAGTTTCAAATAATCCGAATCGCTATGGTTTCATAGATTTTTTTGTAATTTTGTTAATTTTGAAAGATTTGAATAAAAACGATTTTTTCTGAAATAATATTTTTTACGTTCTCCATCTTCATTTTATTATCAACATTTGTGGTGACCGTGACAGGACCTACGATGGAGAACTTGAAGGTAGAAAGAGGCGAGTTAAGAGAAGCCTTCAAGGAATCAATTTCAGAAATCGAATCCGCACTGAAAGATGACGTCATTGATGATTTTCACGTGCAGGTTCTAATAAGCACACTACAGGACCAAGAAGAAAGGTTATGCAATTTAGACACGAACATTAAAGATGCTATGTACTCCTATGAAAAGATAACCACTGAAGAAATAAAGCAAGAATTAAAAGAAGCTGAAGAATACAGGTCTAAACATATACACTATAGGATTAAATGTCAACGTGCCTTGGAGAAGAAGAAAGAAGATATTCAAAGTTTTAGTTCAGAGATGAGATAAAAAAAGAAGCGATTCAACTTACCCAAAATAGAATTAAAGAAATTTAATGGTGATGTAAAGAACTGGATTGGTTTTTGGGGACAGTTTAAAAAATCCATGAAGACTGCGATATTGACGTAGAAGATAAATTTCAGTACCTGATAAGTTCCATGGAAGAAGGCTCTAATCCTAGACAATTAATAGAAGGATATCCACCAACTCAAGAAAATTATTATAAGGCAATAGATAAACTGAAGACGCGTTTTGCCAGAGATGAGATCCTTATCGAGGTATATGTCCGTGAACTACTTAATCTCGTTCTTCAAAAAAATAATGCGCATTCAGGTATGTCACTAACCACTCTTTACGACAACTTAGAAACGCAGTTAAAATCTCTAGAATCATTAAGTGTTACAAGCGAAAAATATGCAGCTATGTTATTTCCGTTAGTGGAGTCTGCTTTGCCTGAAGAAATCTTAAAAGCATGGGAAAGACATCGCAATAATAGGTGTCAATACAATATAGATGAGGGTAAAGGTAAATTTTATTCCGATTTTAATAACTCTTTGCAAATGTTATTAGATTTTCTCCGAAGTGAAGTCGATTCTAAAGAAAGAATTAAAAGAGCACAAGCAGGTTTTACAACAGAAAAAGAGACAAAATACTCCCATTTCACCACCACTAGCGGCATAAAGCAAGGACTCGAGAAAGATATAAGTACAGCCGCAACATTATTTTCTGGAAATGCAAAGAATCAGGATAAGGGTAAGAAAAGTCCAATTTGTCTATTTTGTAGTTGTAATCACGCAAGTCAGGATTGCATCAAAGCACAAAAAATGACCTTAGAGGAAGACAAAAATAATAAACAAACGGGGTTGTTTTGCGTGTCTGAAAACTAACCATTCTGTCCGTAATTGTAAAACATTCGTTAAATGTCTAGTCTGTTCTAGAAAACATTTTCCAATTATGTGTCCAGATTTGGTTACTAAAAGAGAATCTAACCCTAAACTACAAAAATATAATACTAGTTTAGAAAACTCAAATCTTTCAAATAATATTACCCAAAGCTATACATTGCAGACTATTTTGGTAAAAATACTAAACCCTAATAAAAATACCATTAAAGTTGTACATGCATTATTAGATACAGGGTCACAGAAATCATACATATTAAGTAATTGTGCAAAGGAATTAGGTTACATCAGAGTAGGTACAGAAGATGTTATTCAAGGTGTATTTGGCGGACTTCAAATGTCTCCAAAACTGCACAATAAGTATGAAATTGTTGTCCAGAACTTACAGGATAATTCTGAATTCAAGTTAGACGTTCTAGATCAACACAAAATATGCAATTTCATTTCTAGATTAACAGATATATCACTAATTAATTAACTTAAAAGTAAAAATATAATTTTAACTGATTCAGGCCTTTCATCCGCATCACCAGAAGTAGAGTTATTATTAGATGCTGATGTATTTGGTTATTTATTAACTGGAAATATTGAGAATTTACAAAATGGGCTGGTGGCTATAGAAACTTGTTTGGGATGGACCATTATGGGCCAATATAAGGACATTTCATGTAAAAACATATTTAGTGGTCTTTCTCATGTTTCTATTACAGATCTGTGGAATTTAGAAGTTATAGGTATAACAGATCCAGCAGAGGTTAAAGCTAAGCAGAAGATGGAGAAAGAAACATTAAATTTCTTCTATAAAACAATTAAAGTTAATCCCGAAGGTCGATATGAAATTAAACTTCCTTGGAGGGAAGATTGCCCAGGTGTGTTAAGCAACGAACAAATGGCATTGTCGCGTCTTTCCTCAACAAGTAAAAAACTAGTCAGCCTCAAGAAGCTGTCAGACTATCAAAACGTATTTTTAGAATGGGAGAAACTAGGAATCATAGAAGAAGTAAGTGAAGATACTACAGGTAACCAATCTATACACTATCTACCACACCATGCTGTTATAAAAGAGGCCAGTAAAACGACCAAAGTACGACCTGTTTTTGATGCGTCAGCAAAAGACGAATTAGGTAACTCTTTAAATAGCTGTCTTGAAGCAGGACCAAATTTAATTGAACTAATTCCAAAATTATTATTAAAATTTAGGTTAGGTATTTTTGGAATTATCGCAGATATAGAAAAGGCTTTTCTGCAAATCAGAATCTCCCCTGATTGTTAAGACGAAATTTGGGAAAATCTTGTATCAGTTATGATGAGTTAATGACGGTTTTGTGTGATTGCGAGGCCATTATTAATAGTAGACCCTTAACCTACATCTATGAAGACAATAACTCCTTAAATGCTTTGACTCCATCCATGTTTTTAAATGATGCACCAGGCAGTGACGTTCCAGATCTAGACTCCATAGACAGAAATCACATAGTTGCACGGTATCGCTACATACAAAAATTAAGAGATTATATACGTACTCGATTAAGGAACGAATATCTGGGAGAACTAGTCTTCAGTCGCCAAAAGAAGGGTAATACCGTTTTAAAAATTGGAGATATTGTACTTGGTCAAGATAATATAAAAAGGATTCAGTGGCCAATAGGTAGAATAACAGAAGTTATTCAGGGAAAAGATGGAATTCCAAGAACAGTAAGAATTAAAACACAAAAGGGAGAACTTTTAAGACCATTTCAACGTGTTTACCCCTTAGAAATAAGTCAAACCGAACAATGTAATAGGCTTCTGAAAACAGACAAAGAAAATCGAGATTAAATAACAAACAGAAGGCCGAAAGAGATGAAACAGATAGAAGAAGAAAGGACGATTGAAAATGTTGAATCCAAAATGGTAACAAGAGCAGGAAGAATAGTTAAACCACCTTCTCGGCTTGAGTTTTAGTTATTTTTATTATTGTATTTTATTTGTTTTGTATATTTTATTATTCGTCTCCTTAAGCGAGGAGTATGTTGGGGATCTTAGGAATCATATCGTTGCCCTAGTTTCAAATAATCCGAATCGCTATGATTTCATAGATTTTTTTTTAATTTTGTCAATTTTGAAAGATTTGAATAAAAACGATTTTTTCTGAAATAATATTTTTTACGTTCTCCATCTTCATTTTATTATCAACAACCCTGTTGGGCGTAAACTGATATCATATTGGTTATTTCACCGTTTGAGAAAAAGTTATGTCGCGGCATTGTATAAAATTAACGAATTTTATCACTCAAAACTCTCATGTAAGACTAATCCTGACAGTGCTACATTTGACAACTGCCTACTAGATTTAACATTATTAACATTATCAAATTGAGAAATTATGGAATAATCCATACATTTGCAGTACTAACTTTAAATTAAGTTTTCGTTCAAATTATGCATTTTAGCGACAAGCAACAATTATACCTTTTTTAAAGAAAATTGAACGCTTTTTCAAAATAATTATTCATTTTTCAAAATTGTCCATTAAAAAAAAATCTGAAGTAAATACTAGTTTGGCACGCCAATTTAAAACGTCCTGTACATGTAATGCAATAAAAAAGCTGGTATTCGTTTGTATCACCCAAAAAAACTTACTTTCACAAAATGTGGGTATATTTACTTAAAAAATATTTGAATTATTTTAAAAATATTGAAAAAAAAAATTATTTTTTCCACCCTGTAACTTCTTAAGCAAGCAAAATTCTACTAAGGTAAATTGGCTTAAATGAACTTATTTTTATCCAAACTAACCACATCTGAAGTTTGGCCCATTCTTTAATGAACCTGGATAACAATATTATATCTTGGACCAACCTGTATACATCGGCCGACCTTTTACCTAATTCGAATTCCAAAAACCACCTTTGATCACCTTTCTACAGATTCAGGATGCATCCGTAACTTGTCAAAATCCGCCAGCTATTAAAATCTTACTAAGTACTTCATTTTATGTGTTTTTTTTTTAATAAGTAATAAATTATTAATAGTCTCAAATATCACCAGAAATGACAAACTGACCTGCCGAAAAGATAGACCAAAAAAAAATTCAAATTTAAATTTAGAGGTCAACCTTCGACTGTTTCATATAAAAGCGATTTTTTTTTAATTAATACCGGTATTTAGTTGCGAGTCGAAATTGAATACTAACATGAAAGGAGTTTTGGTAAGTTTATACTTCTTTAGATACATATTTTAATTATATTTAAGTGAAGTAAAAATAATTACAAGTAATTTTCAAAATTTTCTTAATGGTTTGAGAGTTATGTTGTGAATTAAACAGAATGAAAATGAACTAGCTCTAATTTATTGTAATGTACCTGCGCCAGGGCCACCCTAACCACATAGCTAAATGGGCTATAGCCCCGGGGCGCAAGCCTTTTAGACGCGGCAATTTTTGTTTTTATTAGTTATTAGTTATTTTTAATAAAAATCTTTGACAATAATAAATAAATGACCTTATCTAAATGAAAAAGAATATATTATACAAGTATGTATGTATATCTTTGTTTTGGAGTTTAGTAATAAATATGTGTTCTTAGAATTTTCCCGGCTGGGAAAATTGTGCATAAATTTTATATTTTTATTTAGTGTATTGGTAATAAATTGACTTTTTCTATCTCTTACACTTTTGTTTAAATTTGCCGGTAGTTTCTAATAAAAGGGAACGCATTATTTTTAGTAGCCCACGGAATCTGAATAACTTAGGACGGCCCTGACCTGCATTTTCTTTTCATAAAGTGCTTTGTCTGTTTTCTCCATGTTTATTATCTGATTTCAATGCTATTATTACAGTCAATTTAATTCAATGAAGAGCCAAATGTTTAACTATACAATGCATGATGAGTTAAGAAGTTGAATATTGAACATATTAAATTGAAATATACTATGCGGTCTATATATATGTAAGGAATAAATTCATGTTTAACTTTAATATATAATTTTGGGTAAAAAACCTAAAATAAGTCGATTTCAATTATTAATTTGACAATTTATAGTGTACAAATATTATCCCTTTCTTCACCACTCTGAATTGTGAGCACCCCGTCTAAAATGTTACAATTAAAAGGGGGTCGTGTGACACCATGTTTGAAAGGGATTTTATTTATCTCTTCAGCAATATAAAGTTTTTTTTTTAATTTGGTGTAATCATATAAGAGAAAATTAATTTTGAAAATGTAAAAACAAAGAATTAATTTAAAATACAGTCTTATGTAACAATCTTTGCTTCATTCTACGTAAAGTTTTGTGATGGAGACATTATCATAATTTTTACATTTTCAAAATTAATGTTTCAATTATTATTGCTTTAAATTTAAAAAACTGTATAGTTCTGAAAATAGAATTAAATTTCCTTTTAAACAAGGTACCACACCATCCCCTTTCTTATTTAAAGTTTCTGAGGAACTGCTCATAATTCAGAGGGGGATAATATTATGTTTATACTATAAATTGTTAATTTAAGAATGGAAATCGAACTTTTTCAGGTGTTTTCCAAAAAATACATATTATTAAGGCTAAAACTGAATGTATTTCATATACATGGACCGCAGTGTATACTAATCATGATATATATATTGTATAGATAGTAGATATTGTATTAGAGAAAATTATATACTCTTCTTACAATGGGAACTAATTTTTATGTAAGCTTCTTAAATAAATTGTTTTTTTGCAATAATAGTATTTTTTAACTCTTTTGGGGTCGATCTTTTCACCTTCAGATAAAGTTCCAGATAACTAACTGACGGATATATTATCTGACAGTTACTGTCTGTCAGATAATTAATGTTCTGTTTTTTCAAGTAAATAATATGTGTGGTAGGTATCCAGTAGTTTTTAACCTTATGTGGTTATGTAACTACCTGTTTATTCATCAGTGAAGTATTTTATTAGAAATTTCATAAATAAGATAATTTATCATTGAGAAGTTAGGTTTATCCAGAAGTGAAAAGATTACTTTTTAAGTTACTTGGGAGATAAAAATTACCTGACACTTTATCTGAAGGTGAAAAGACCGACCCTTGGATAAGTTAATTAGATATTGTGTCTGCTACTGCATGTTTTCCAAATGGCGTAGCACAAGGAAACGAATAATATCAGTGTTGTCCGTATGTTGGAATTGTTACAAAATAATATATCTTGGGTATTACTGATGATGGTTACCGATGACCGAAACTGGTTGCCTGTTGAAAAATTATGTTCGTACTGTACAACGGAATTTTAATAATACGCAATTTTTATAATTTTTGCTCAAAATTATTTTAATCTTTATATTATATATACAGGGTGTACCAATAAAAACTCCCAGGCCGGATATTTTGGTAAGTAATAGAGATATTTTAGTTCTGTAAAAGCTAGTTTATATAGCGCTAAGAGAGCTTCAGTTTTAGATATAAATTAATTTTAAATAGGTCAATATGTAGATGGCGCAGCGCTCAATAATTTTTTTTCGATGGATGGATCTTTCTTGTGTAGCGCATCTGGTAAAAAATGCATTTTTAAGTAAATTTTGTTAAATGAACTAATTTGATAAATCTAGCCATTTTTGATATACAGAGTGGTTCATTAAAAACAGTTTCATCCTGTTTTTTGGCATTAATCATTGGATTTTTAGAAAATGCTTAAACAGGTTGATTTTTATTCCAAATTAAACACATTTTTAAAATACGGACATCTGTCATGTGTCAACCCCCTCCCTTCCACTTCTTCAAACCCTTTATTTTAAATAAGGAATGTACCATGTACGGAACATCCCTAAAAAGGTAATTTTATGGGGAAGTCAGAAATATGACAGTTTATTGTGATACTTTTAATTTTAGCGCCCTCTATCAGGATAACAAAATCTGTAATTTATTATAAAGTGTGACACTTCATTTAAAAGCTAATTTAATTATTAATTTAATGCACTACATAACATTAATATAAATATTTCCATATTGCACTTGCAACAAAATAACGTTAGCAATAATGTTTAAAATAATGCATGACTAATTTTCAAACTATTGCAAGTGCAATTTGGAGAATATTTATAATAATATTATGTGGTATAATAAATAAGTAATTAAATTTTCTTTCAAATAAGGTGTCACACTTTAAAATACGTTGTTTTTATCCCGATAGAGAGCGGTACAATTACAAGTATCGCAATGAACAGTAATATTTCTAAATTCCCATAAAATTACCTTTTTAATGATGTGCCATACATGGTATATTACCTATTTAAAATTAAGGTGTGGAGAAGTGCAAGGGAGGGGGTTGACACATGACAGATATCTGTATTGTATAAATGTTTTTAAATTGGAATAAAAATCGACCTGTTTTAACATTTTCTTAAAATCCAATGATTAATGCTAAAAAACAGGATGAAACTGTTTTAAGTGACCCACTCTGTATATAAAATATTGCTAGATATATCGAATTAGTTCAGAAAACAAAATCTGCTTAAAAATGCTTTTTTACAAGATGCGCTACACAAGCAAGATCCTCCCATCGAAAAAAAATTATTAAGCGCAGCGCCATCTACATATTAACCTAATTAAAATCAATTTATATCTAAAACTAAATCTCTCTTAGTGCTTTGTGAACTGGCTTTCACAGAATTAAAATATCTCTATTACTTACCAAAATATCCGGCCTGGGAGTTTTTATTGGTACACCCTGTATAGTCTGGGCCACTCAAAAGAGCCCACCCTGTTATTTGAAAGTATTCATTGGATTTTGGGTAAATGTTGAAACAGGTCGATTTTTGTTTCAAAGAGGACACATTTTTATAATACAGATATCTGTCACCACCACTTCTCCAACCCCTTAATTTTAATTAAGAAATATACTATGTGTGGCACATCATTAGAAAAACATTTCGATGGACTAAGATCATCTATGACGTTTTTCGATATAAACACCGTGTATTACCTCTATAAAATTAAACGCATCGCCTATGTTTGCCTAAGGGGTTAAATTTTTTCCATGAAAACAAGAAAACAAATTTTGCAAAAATGTTTTACTTAGGTAGTTACTAAGATATTTGGTAACGTTTACAGTGGTGCTAGTTAATATTAGAGATATTTTTTGATTACGTCAAAAATTGTCTATTCTATTATTTTTTAAAAACGGGAAATGTGCATCTGGAACTATTAGAGAAAACTATTGATTTCACTTCATCAGATATTATCCAAAATGATAAGAGGTACTCAGAAGATTATCTAATAACGCACCTCCGCATTATAGCAGAGCCGTAAGGCCAATACCTTAATGAACGATTTCCAATGAAAATGGACTAGAAGAAGAGACCTTATTGAATATCCAGCATGGTCATCTGATTTAAATCCACTGGATTTCATTTTATGGGGTTACTCAAAAAGATTTATAAGACTGAACCTGCTTCGTTGGAAGGGCTCAAACGACGATTAGTGCATGAATTCAGTCTAATAACTCCTGCAATTCCTTAAAAGATTTGACGTAATTTCAAACAGCGACTTTACAATTGTAGAGAATATTTTGAATATCTAATTCATTAATTATCGAAAATAGGATAATAAATTCCTTTAATTTTGTTAATTTTATCTACGTTACATTTAATAAAGTTTCCTAGCCAAACATAGGCATTGCGTTTAATTGTATAATTTAATTAAATTAAAACTTTTTTACAAACTAGGAGCTAATATCGAAAAAAAGTCATAGTCTAATGATGTGCCACACATGGTATATGCCCTATTTATAATTAAGGGGTTGGAGAAGTGGAAGGGAGGGGCTTGACATTTGACAGATGTCGGTACTGTAAAAATGTGTTCCATTTGGAATAAAAATCTACCAGCATTTTCTTAAAATCCAAAAGTAATACTGCCAAATAACAATGTGGACTGTTTTAAGTGGCCCACTCTGTCAGATCTGGGCAGAGTACTGCTTTACAATGAGTAGCTTTACAAAGTACTCATAAATAATTGAGTATAAGTACCTATATGAATAATACTCAAAGCAAATGAGTACTTTTGTCAATTGTAGAGAGTACTCGTGAAAAAATCGCGTAACGAGTATGAGTACCTTACCTATTTTAAATAATTCTGGTCAGTGACTCAAGTTTAGATAAAAGAAATTATAATAATTAGTAATAGTAAGTCAGTAAGTAACAAACAAAAAAGGAGTAGATCACTTATCTTCTATAAATTAATTAGCACTTACCATTAACGTGTACGTATTAAATCTCACGCCACTGCACATTTTCATACAAGAAACCAGGTCAGCTATTCACAGGCTAATGCAGGGACAAAACGCAATAAGCCAACTACATAACGTCGACCACACAAGGCTATATCAGCAAGTAAAAAGGGATAATATTCTAGCTAAGCCTACTGATAGAGCCATAATCACATACAAATTTGAAAGAAATTTTCAAATGCAAATACCAGCCCGAGAAACCTGGACACAGGGACCTTCCGTACAGGCTGAACTCGTCTGGTACACAAACGGTTCAAAAACCAAGGAAGGAGCCGGTGCTGGAATCTATGGACCCAAGTCGAAAACATCGATTTATCTGAGTTTAGGAAAATATGCAACAGTGTTCCAGGCTGAACTAGTAGCCATACAACACTGCAAGAGAAATACTAAATCAGCAAGTATCAGGCAAAACTGTTGCCATATACTCTTATAGCCAAGCAGCTCTAAAGGCAATTATCTCACTAGAAATCAAATCATGGTGAAAGAATGCCTAGAAGACCTGGCAGAGCTAAGTAGTCAAAACAAGGTGATCCTAGCCTAGGTGCCAGGCCATGAGGGATATCAGGGCAATGAAAAGGCCGACAAATTAGCCAGAGAAGGCTATGACAGGCCCCGAAGATTGACATAGGAGTTTAGACTTGTCAGTTAAGAAATTAAAAAAATAATTAGAAAGTATTACATTAAAGTTGAAGATTTTATATCGTAGAGATGAAAAAAACAAAATAAAAAAAGAAAGATAAAGAAAGTTTTATTTAAAATAAAGATAAATGTAAATGGAATAGGAAGAAGAACTTAGCAGGATGAAGAGTTTGTCAAAAGTATAAAAGGAGAAAGTAGAGAAAAAAGGAACAAATAAACAGAAAACACCATAGGCTCTGGTTGGAACTTCCTGGACTTAGATAGTCCAAAAGATTCATAGAGGGGCCATCCACGAGCAGACAAAATCAATTGCTAAACCTTAGTAGAAGCGAACTCAGGGCCGTAATAGAACTCCTTACGGGACACTGCGACCTTAGAAGACACCTAAATCTCTTGGGGATATCTGATGACTCCCTATGTAGAATATATGAGGAGGAGGACGAAACTCCTATTCACATACTATGCCACTGTTGGAACCTTAAATGAGAACGGGAATAGTACTTCTGGGTACAATATCCGGAACCTGAATAAATCGCGGAAGCGCTTATCAGACATATTCTTGAATTCATCAAGAAAATCAACCTGATGGGATAGAAACTGTGAGGATTACAATAAGCCTAGAGCATCAGTATGAGTGGACTTTGAACCACGCCCTAATTCAGATAAATAGATAGATAGAGGAGACCAGGCAGGAGAAGAGAAGGTACAGAAAGTCAGCAGTAAGAGCAGAAATGAGAAGAACAGGAAGCAAGAAGAAAGAAGCGAAGCGGAAGCTTTAGATTTTTTTTCAAATTCAACATTTGTATTATTTTTAGTTACTCCAAATTTTTTGAGTGTGAGTCTCAACAGGATAAAAGTACTTACGAGTACCAATTACTGAGTAATTTGAGTATTCAAGTACAATTTTAAGTACAATTTACTCGAATACTATCCAGCTCTGTACTCTGTATGTATACAGTGCCAGTCTCACTTTAGATTGCACCAACCCAGTATTTTATTTATTGATTTAAAAAATTATTTCACCCTAATAACTTTTAGGCTAAACGGTAAACTGCTAGCCTACTACCATTTTGAAATAAACAGCAATATTGAAAACGTCATATTAGGAACTTTTTTATCCTCAAATTATATAAAAAGAGTTATTTAGAATCTTTCAGAATCATTCAAATTAGCTAAGTCATAAAAAAATAAAGGATTATTTAAAAATCATGGTCAACTTGTGAGAGCATTATTTTAATTTTCTGGACTTACCATTTTTTAAGATAGTTTCAGTATTTAGCATATTTAAACAATTCTAAACAACTTTTTTTATTAAACACAAATCCTTAATACACCATCAATACTAAATTCTTTTATATCGTAGTAGGCTAGCATTTTACCGTGAAGGGAAAGTAATATACCCTTAAAGTACAATTTACTGAGGGATGTAATTATGGAAAAAAGTATAAAATCGATAATACGAGTATAACAAAAATACTGGTGTAGTATAAAGTGAGACACACCCTATATATATTTTTAATGCTAAAAACATACACAATAACCTGACAAATGATAATGTAATTCCATTATATTTACAACTCGTAACCCAAATAATAACAACGTTTCTCAAAATTAAAAGCTACTTGATATCATAATTCTTCCTTAATGTAAAATAAGCAGTTTATGCAACCGAAAAAGATTAATCTCAAACGCAAAGAGCATGTAGAAAGTTTTATTTTATTTATGGCGAGCGATTAATAATTTTTGTCGAAATAACCATTTGGAATTTTAAATTTTTTCTCATTCAGTAACAGAAGCGAACAAAATTGCATTCGTATTCAATGCAGAAATCTATAATAATAATAATTATGATTTGTAATTTATGTGAATATTAAAATTACTTAGGCAAAATAAAAAATCGATTTTTAAACAAAGACAATTTCACAGTAATTCTTTATTTTTCTTATAATATTAAATTATTTCTGCTACCCTGTACTTAAATTAACTTTACCTCATTTTCAGATATTTTCGTTGGTAATTTTGGCACTCGCCAGTGGCGAGAAAAATGCCAAAAAAGAAAAATCGCTAAAGGAAAAAAGAAGTTTCGGCCAACAGATAGTACCAGCTATTTCATTAGACTCTTCTGATGCCCTTTTCCAACAAAATTCTGCCAACTCTTTCTCCCAATTCCAACAACCCGGATTCCAACAAGGACAATTTTCCGGATTCCAACAAGTTGGCCTACCTCAAGTTCAAGTTTCGGGTCTTTCTGGTCTGCAACAGGTTCAAGTTTCAGGACTAAGACAAGTAGAAATCCCACAAGTGCAATCTTTTGGGCAACAAGTATCAACAGGTCTAGGTGGCCAATCTTTTGGGCAAGTATCAGCAGGTCTAGGCGGCCAATCTTATGGACAACAACAGTCTTTTGAACAAGTGTCAGGTAGTTTAGGAGGACTGTCTGAAAGCAACTTCCAAAACCAACAAGGCATTCAAAGCTACGGTGAATATCTTAAACAGCATCCCTTGTCTTCATCTGGAACTTTTAGCAATGGATATCAATTCAGTGGACTGCAAGGAGTACAAGTACCTCAATTTAAGGGAATTCAATCTTATTCACAAGGTATTTATGAAGTTTATGATTTATTTATACATAACATTAATTATATATTTTTTTAGAACATACCGTTAAAGTTAAGCCTGGAACCCATTCCTACAGATACATTACCAAACAGGTACCTGTAGCGGTACCTCAACCTTATCCCGTTGAAGTAGTTAAAAAAGTTGGTGTACCAACTCCCTACCAAGTAACCGTACCAAAACCATACGCAGTTCCAGTTAAAGTACAAGTACCAGTTGAAGTACCCAAACCTTACGCCGTTCAAGTTCCACATAGAGTACCTGTTGCTGTACCTGAAAGGTTAGTACTTAATAAAACTATTTCGTGTGAAATAAGCCATTTCTGTGAGCAAATAATTATTTAAAAATTTTATGTTTTTTAGGGTTCCTGTTGAAATTCCAAGACCATATCCCGTGTACAAAACAAAACAAGTGAAAGTAGAAATTGAAAAACCAGTTTTCATCAGAGAAAAAATAGAAGTTAGAGTGCCAGTACCCAAGCCCTATAATGTTGAAGTACCAAGTGCAGTTCATTTCAAAGTACCACACAAAGTAATCTTGAAGACTCCACAAATTGTTGAAAGTACGGTTCAGAGCCAGAATTCAAACTACGGAGTTGTTCAACAACAATCAAGTAAATAAGCACTTGTTTTTTAGTTATGAAATATTTATCACATACATGTATTTTTTAGGTGGTCTGAATTTCCCCAGTCAAGTTTATAGCCAAAGTTACGGTTACGGTTCATCTCAAGCTTCCTTGCCAGTTCAATCATCTTTTGAACAATCTGTATCAAGCGGTTTGGGCAGTCAATCTTTCGGAAGTTCCGGTCTAGGTGGACAATCTTTTGATCAAAGCTCCGATGTAGTTGGACAATCATTTGGGCAACAAGTATCCAGTGGAATTGACACCCAATCTTTTGGGCAACAAGTATCTGGTGGAGTTAACAGCCAATCTTTTGAGCAACAGGTATCTAGTGGACTGGGAGGACAATCTCTGGGACAAAATTCTTTTGAACAAGTATCCAGTGGACTAGGAGGCCAATCAATTGGACAAGATTCTTTTGAACAGATATCCAGTGGATTAGGTGGTCAATCTGTTGGACAACAGTCTTTTGAACAACTATCCGGCGGACTTGGTGGCCAATCTTTTGGACAACAACAGTCTTTTGAACAATTGTCCGGCAGTTTTGGTGGACTCTCTGGAAACAACTACCAAAATCAACACGGTATCCAAAGCTATACTGAATATTTGAAACAGCACAACCAGTCTCCATCTGGAGTTTTGAACAATGAAAATGAATCCGTTTCAGTTGGATTATTTGAATCTAGAAGTGCAGTCGCTGATGTAGCAGACAAAACTGTTTCAGAAGGTAATAATAAGTTCTCTATATAAGTAATTATAAAGCACTTAAGTATAAAATTTAGGTTCATATTAAGTGGCGTTTCATAGTAAATTTTACAGGAAGATCTTAACAGGTAAAAAATGACCATCGGCTGTTAATATTCCTCTAGTCTAGTGTTTTTAAGTGAGCAACGTTGGACCAAATTCTTTATATGATCGTATTTATTTAAAACAATAAGATTAACAGCCATTGGTGGCAGAAGGCAGCTTAGCTCCCCTATAGTACTCAGGAAGACCTAATCTGCGCATCAGATGTTAAGTACACTGCACTTTAGCAAGGTTCAGAAATTTAAAATTTAAAATGAAGAATATACAGAGTGTTTCAGAACTATGGGATCAAACTTCTAGGGGTTATTCAGTGCAACAGTAGAAAACATTTGAGTACCCATGTCCGGAAAAGTGTCACTACGGCACTATGGCCCTAAGACGCGTTAAAATTTAGAAAGACGATGAATTGCCTAAATAGGATTTAATGCATTTAATTTTTGCCTTTTGTACTGTTGCACTGAATAACCCCTAGAAGTTTGATTCCATAGTTCTGAAACATCCTGTATAATGGTCAGATATAGCAATTTTTTTCTATTCTTACTCTCGGTATGGTAATAGTAGTTTTCAAGCCTAGAGGGAGAGAATTTTCAACTTGATTTTTTTTTATGTATTATAATCTGAAGCCTTTAATAAATCTTCGTGTTTTGATAATTTCAAATATTTCTGGTTTTGTGAATTTAGCCGAATTGTCAAATGATTTCTCAAATTGTGATCTTGTTAATTATTTAATTTTTGCAAAATTTCTGTCGAGTTAACAATAAAACAGTATAATGTCAATAAAATGCTGCAGAAATGTCGGAAAAAAAAGAAAAATAAATCAATTAATTTTTTTCCATTTAATAACCAAACGAAGAGGTGTAAAAGTGGGAGATGAATTGAATGTTAAAACTCGGAGAATGGTAAAATGAAAGAGGATAATCAGTTGAAAAATACTGTTTTATGACCGAGAAAATACTTGATACTAAAACTTATTTTTAATTTATTTGAATATCATGCTTAGATTTTATTCACACATATTTGATAAATAACCCACAACGCGATTTTTTTTTTAATATGCGTGAACTAATGAGTTTATTTCAGTAATATAACGATCAGCTAGAAGCTAAAAGCTAGAGGCTAGGTAATAGGTTCATTTTTATAATTCCACAACAATTTCACGTCAAAAATAAAAGCATAATGAGGTAATTATTTGATAAAAGTATACTTCAATGATTTATGTATTCATTTTTTCTACACCCACATGGATATTAGCCATACTACGCACATACTACAAAACGAAAAAGTATGCCATTGCGTTTAACTGAACGAATATACTTCATATCTATTCTACAAGCGCATTACACAAATATGAAATCCACCATTAAAAATTCATATTTTGGTTACACGGCTACTATTATTTTTTAAATTATACGTAAGTGACAATTCTGTCAAACTAATTGTCAGTATATTTTTTAGTTATTGAGTTTAAATATACATTAAAATGATTTATTTTGGTGTAGAATCGATAAATCATATCATTTCTATTTTTATTTTATCTATATTTACAAATAAATCATTAATTTTATTAAAACTGTACGAAATCAATTTAATTACGAGTATTCAAACTAAAATGTTAAGTGGTTCGATGGAGCTGAGAATAGAACATTTAATTGTCATGCGAGAGGTCCTGGGATCACATCTAGAATAGAGATTAATTAAATTAAATCTTCTTTTTCATATTTATTTTATTTTATAAATTATTAAAAGTCATAAATTATTTTTAAATTAGTTATTTTATCTTAATAAACTAAAATAATTTTCAAAATTTGTAGATTTTCGTTAATGGGTCCTAGAAAAAATATACTGTAAAACATGAGTGGATTGCCCATATCCGCTCTTGTTGCACAAACTACTATTAATTTCAAAGTTTTTTACAGTTTTGAGAGTCTCCTGGTCAACTGGTTTAGTTCAAATGACTGTCTGTATTAATTTAACAAAATTATATTTCAGGTACAATTGAAGAAGTACCAGCTCAACCTGACCACAGCCTATCCGCGGCAGCAGCTTCTACTGAAACATCCCAGGTATCGTCAGAAATCAGCACTGAAACTGTCGAACAAACTTCCGCACCAATCAGTGAAAACAAAGTTGAATAAAAAAATGACAATTAAACATCACCTTTCTATAACTACCGTAGCGTAGTATTTTAACGACAGAAAGTTTCTCAATTCTCAGTTGTTTGAGATGTTTTATATAATGTAATATAGTTAATAATTCAGTTTTTACGATTTTTTTTGCAATATTACCTGTATCCAAAAATTAATTATTGTAACACTTTTGTATGTGAAAAGATAAGTATGAAGTTAACCCAAAATTAAATCGTTGCTATTAAAAATCAGACATTTCTAGAGTAATGCAGAAAATATAAGATTTTTTAGAAGTTTAGAAAATTTATTACAAGTTCAAAATGAGAAAATAGTTAAAGATTTAAATGATCAAAAAGTTTATTCATTAGTGTTTCTAAAAATTAAAAATTGCATTTAGAATAAAGACATTTATATACACATCGAGGGTTCAGAGCCAAAAATCCGATATCGCAAAAAATAATTACTACCAGAATTATATACACGCAAAAATTAACAGAGGAACTAAATAAATTAGGAAAATAATGCGTGCCTCTGACATGTAACACGGTCGCCTTTTGAGGCAAACGGGACGTGTGTGAAGTTAGCATCTCAAATCTCAGTTCTGATGGCATCCAATATACTTCTATAGTCTCTGGTATTTTTTATTAATAATTCTTTCGAATTTACTACCAAAAACTGCAATTGAAAAAATGAGATGCTAACGGCCGGAAGTTAGGATCCCAATATAATAAATAAAATGAAAACAGGAGACGAAAAATCGATAGTTTACGAATAGATCTAGAGTTCTTCGTTTGTGTGGCTAAATTATTTCATTTATAGCTTTAGCCCTCTTAAAATAATAATAAATAATTATTATTCATAAAAAATTTTAGACGATAGTAAAATGACAATTTCTAGAACACATAATGCTTCTAAACTGCAATGCTTCTAAATGACTTTATCTGTGTTGAGACCCGAAGAATTCTAGACTCTAGCACTTTTTTAATAATTTTGTGTATGAACAACAAATAGAAATTGTAAACCAGAGTGAGATTCTGATACATTATGACGAGTTCTAGAAAATATAACGCTTCTAAATGACAACTAGATTGTCTCTGCATGAAATTCCAAAGAGTTCTAGCACTTTTTAAATAATTTTAAGTATTAATAAACAAAAATTATGGGCTATAGTTAAGTGCTGTCATATTATGACGAGTTCTAGAATAAAAAATTAAAAATAATAAAAGTCTTTACAAAAACATACCACATATTCCTTGGACCAAAATAAGTCGATTTAAATAAAATTACCTTAGTACAAAGTTGCTTCGTTTGGGCTCCACAGGGCCTTGAAATTACAATTTTTAAATGGTTTTTCCCATATAAATTTAAAACAGCATATGCGATTTTGCTGAAATTTGATATATTGGTAGAGTTTTATGTGGCAAAAAAAATGGTATTAAAATTTTGTCCGATAATAATACATAGGCGTAGAACTTGATTTTTTAAATAATTGCACCATTAAAAAATTCTACGCCAATGGAAGAAAAGGAGTTTGAGTATAAAATTTAGATTGCGCAACTCATTTACTTTAAAAAAGGTACTCTTGATAAGACTCGATTACTCTCATGGTTTTGACGAAATTTGCATTTTAGTAATTTTAGAACATAAACAATAATTATTAAAATACAAACTTTGTCAAAACCATGAGAGTAAATCGAGTGTTATCAAGGGTACTTATTTACTACAGAATCCAAATTTCATACTCAACCCCCTTTTTTGCCATTGGCGTAGAATTTTTAAAGGTGCAATTATTTAAAAAATCAAGTTCTACGCCTATGTATTATTATCGGACAAAATTTTATACGATAAAAAACATAAAAATGTACTTTTTTCATATCTTCTTCAACACCTCTAATCTAGACTAGATTCTTGCCATGTACGATTTTTTTGAGGAATATTAATTATTTGCCTGCAATACGTATACAAAAACATTTATTGTTGGTTTCCATAGTTTCATCTAAATAAAAATATTGTCAATTTTTAATACCTAATCTCTTGTTAACGATTAAAAGTGTTCTATCTGACTCAATAATTAAAAAAACAAATGCGTGGTTTATTAATATGGCTGTACAATATACCAATGTAGAATATACCGAGATGTTACTGACATTAGGATTTTGTAAAGGAAATGCTCTGAAAGGTTTCCAAATCGTCGTGTACCTAGCCACCCACCTTTTGCTGCTGTTGAGACCAGTTCCTTTGCTCCCAACACTGTTGATAATGGAAGAGAACGTTTTGTAAGGATTCCTGAAGTTGAAGAAGACATTTTAGAACGTGTTGAAGAAGATCCAGAATTAAGCACCAGACGAATTGGAAGGGAACTAGGAGTAAGTAAAGATGTCGTTCATAAAGTGCTTGGAGAACAATTGCTATATCCATCCCATAAGAAGCCAGTACAAGAATTATTAGTCCATGATCCTCAAATTCGTTTGGATTTTTGTCGATTTGTTAATATGCAAAGAGAAAGAGATCCAAACTTTGTCAAGAAGGTTCTCTTTACCGATGAAGCGGGTTTTACAAGAAGAAGTATAACTAATACCCATAATGAACATGTTTATGCCGTTGAAAATCCGCATGCAATAAAGGTAAACCATTTTCAGCACGAATTCAAAATTAATGTGTGGACTGGAATAATTGGTAATTTCATTGTTGGTCCTGTCATACTTCCACGAAGATTAACTGGAGAAAATTATTTGGATTTTTTACAAAATACGTTGCCAGAATGGTTAGAAGATTTACCTCTCCAACTTCGGAGAGATATGTGGTTTATGCAAGATAGAGCTCCACCACATTTTTCTTTAAACGTTAGAAACCACTTAAATGAACAATATCCACACAAATGGATAGGCAGAGGTAATGACGCACCTGTAAACTGGCCACCACGTTCCCCAGACCTAACACCGAAGGATTACTTTTTATGGGGACATCTGAAATCCACAGTTTACAGGGAACCTGTAGAAAATGAGGAACAACTCTGGCAACGTATTCAAGATGCAATAAACAATCTTAGAGGTGATGAAGAAGTTATGGAAAGGATACATTTTAATTTTCTTCGACGAATAAATCTTTGTATGCGTAAAAATGGTGAACATTTTGAACAATTTTTGTAAAATCTCTATTTTGATTATGTTGTAAATAAATATTTTTGTTAAACCTATACACTCTAAATTATTAAAACAGAAATTTAGCGAAAACCATGAGAGTAATCGAGTCTTATCAAGAGTATCTTTTTTAAAGTAAATGAGTTTCGCAATCTAAATTTCATACTCATTCTCCTTTTCTTCCATTGGCGTAGAATTTTTAAAGGTGCAATTATTTAAAAAATCAAGTTCTACGCCTATGTATTATTATCGGACAAAATTTTAATACGAATTTTTTTGCCACATCAAACTCTACCAATATATTAAATTTCAGCAAAATCGCATATGCCGTTTTAAATTTATATGGGAAAAACGATTTAAAAATTGTAACTTCAAGGCCCTCTGGAGCCCAAACGAAGCAACTTTGTACTAAGGTAATTTTACTTAAATCGACTTATTTTGGTCTAAGCAATATGTGGTATGTTTTTGTAAAGACCTTTTACAGACACCCTGTATATTGCTTCTAAGTAATAACATATTTTTTTTGCATTCAGACCCAAAGAGTTCTAGCCTCTAACACTTTTTCAATAATTTTAGGTAATACTAAAAAACAGAAATTGCTGGCACATTGCTGGCACATTATGACGAGTTCTAGAATATATAATGCTTCTTAATAATAACATATTTTTTTTGCATTGATACCCAAAGAGTTCTAGCCTCTAGCACTATTTCAATAATTTTAAGTATTATTTAACAGAAATTATAGACTATAGTGAGATGCTGTCATATTTTGTGGAATTTTAGAATATATAATGCTAATAAATGATAACTTAACTTCCGCTACACTGAGACTCTCTAGCGCTTTTTCAATAATTTTAAGTAGTAATAATAAACAGAAATTATATACCATAGTGAGATGCTGGCACATTATGACGAGTTCTAGAATATATAACGCTTCATAATGATAACTAGACTATCTCGGCATAGGATCCCAAAGAGTTCTAGGACTCTAGCACCTTTTGAACAATTTTAAGTATTAATAATTTTTTTTATTTATAATTGCACATTTATAATCTGCTCAAGAATATACAGAGTAATAAGTAAATTAATTGGTTTCTTGTTAGGTGGCATGAGGTGAAAACCATCCATCGATAGGTCTCCGGGGTTTACCTATTCTAAGAGATTTTCTGGCCAGTGACGTTTTAGTCTTCTGCGTTTCATAGAATCAGGGTATAGGTTTGCTATCAATGGATTTGTATGATTTTTAATGCTAGTTTTGTTTTTGTTAGCTAAGGTATGGATTACTTCATTGACTAATGAAATTCCAAGATCGTTATGTATTATGTGGTTGCTTACGATAGCTGATGCTCTCGTTCAAAGTGTTCTGGATTCGAATGTTTGTAATATTTTGGTGTTCGATGGTTTACTGCAACCCCCTGCTCTATACCATTTGACCAAATTGGCTTTAGTATGACTTTATATAGAAGTACCTTGTTTTCAAGTGATAACTGTGAGCGACGACCAATTAACCAATTCATTTTTTTGGGTTTTTAGCTTTAAGTGTTCTTTTTTAGCTTTGGTATAAGTTTTTTAGGTTAACTTTTGGTCTAAGTGTAATCCAAGATATTTAACTTCAGTCTTCACTGGTATTTGTATGTTGTTGATAAAAAATTGTGAACAAACACTGCATTTTGTTGTGAACGTGAGTTGTGTGGATTTATCAATGTTAACTTTTATCCTCCACAATTGCAGCCAATCTTGTAGTAGATGTAAATGAAATTGTAGCCTTTCTGATGCTCTTATAGGATATCAATCTGA